CTACCTTAAGTTTGGTAGTGTATATATGTCCATGCCACTGTCTCACTTTATCACAGCTTACCCTTCTCCCTCCCCATATCCTCAAGTCCATTCTCTAGTAGGTCTGTGTCTTTATTTCTGTCTTACCCCTAGGTTCTTCATGACATTTTTTTTTCTTAAATTCCATATATATGTGTTAGCATACGGTATTTATCTTTCTCTCTTTACTTTTTAAGAGTTGCCATTAGATATTAATACCTCCCCCTTTTTTTAAATTTCATTTCCCGTCTTCAAGCAGTTTGGTTTGTGTGTGTGTGTGTGTTTTATCTATCTATCTATTTATTTATTTATTTATTTTTGGCTGTGTTGGGTCTTCGTTTCTGTGCGAGGGCTTTCTCTAGTTGCGGCGAGCGGGGTCCACTCTTCATCGCCGTGCGCAGGCCTCTCACTGTCGCGGCCTCTCTTGCTGCGGAGCACAGGCTCCAGCAGCGCAGGCTCAGTAGCTGTGGCTCACGGGCCCAGCCGCTCCACGGCATGTGGGATTCTCCCAGACCAGGGCCCGAACCTGTGTCCCCTGCACCGGCAGGCAGACTCTCAACCACTGCGCCACCAGGGAAGCCCTAAGCTATTAACTTCTGATTGGAGTATTTTCAGGGTTTGCACAGCAGTATTGAACTCTTCTTCCATTACTGCAGAGAGATTCCTTTTTCCAATTCATAATCTTTAAAGCTTGGCAATAAGACCCTCAGTACTGAAAAGACATTGGGACTGGGATACGCAGCAGATTCCCTGTGATTTCTCGGCAAGCATGTCTATGTGGCACAACTTTATGAACAAAGGAACTCATGTTTGTAATTTGGCTGGTATTTAGGGTGGAGTATTTGGTGACAGAAGGAGACTGGTATCCAAATCCACATGGTCCTGACCATTTAGTCAGGAACCCTTTATACATTTGGTTGTCACACAAAATAAAAAGACTAGAGTGGTTTACAGACAAGGTTAGAATGGAAGCTGTAATTCCCAGGGGTATTCCATGACTTTTGCCAGTGGTGCTGTAGTGTCCAAACGCCTCCATTCTCCATGCGCTCCTGTCGACATGTGAGAGTGAAACAGATTGCAAAATAGCTGATATAGGAGATCGGTTGTCTGGTTTTGGCAGCTGTAAAGCTTATTTCTGTCACCTAACCAAAGTAAGTCCAGATTTTTGATCCACCCGTATATAGTTTGTGGTTTGGGGCAGCTTGATCATGGGGGCAGCTGCAATATCCTGACTTGTACAAGGGTGACCTCTGAGACATCCGGAACATGTGGTGATTTGGCAGACATTTGTTCCCAAAATGGTGGTGCTAGAGTCATTTGCAGTTTCCTTGCGAGGTTTAAAGATGTCACCTATGGAATCAAACCACAGAATTTGATTTGCAATATTGTCCTGGTATGTCACCCAAGAAAGGTCCAGTGTCATGTTTGCTTTTAATGCAAAGGGAAAATTTTTCACCTATTTATCTGGGTAAGGGACAGTCTGTGGGCTTCTACAGATTTTTTTCTGGGGCCCAAATGACTCACTAAAAGAAGATGCAGAGGGCTTCCCTGGTGGTGCAGTGGTTGAGAGTCCGCCTGCCGATGCAGGGGACACGGGTTCGTGCCCCAGTCCGGGAAGATCCCACATGCCGCGGGGCGGCTGGGCCAGTGAGCCATGGCCGCTGAGCCTGCGCATCCGGAGCCTGTGCTCCGCAACGGGAGAGGCCACAACAGTGAGAGGCCCGCGTATCGCAAAAAAAAGAAGATGCAGAGTGATGATTTTCTTGTCATGGATATCATACCCTGCCGCTCATCCATCTTACGTACTTAGCCCACCACGTCCACATCAGCAGGAACCCAGACTCGTTCAGGCTCTTTTGCACTATCCACATGTTGACATAATCAACACTCAGGCTGAGTTAGCGTGGCCAGGGTTTGGTAAATTAGCATAAGGGGGTAAGGGAGGGTTAGTAAGAACAAAACACAGGTTGAAAATGAGCCCAGAGTGGAGACTTAGAGGAGAAATAAGATAGAGACAAGTGCTCTCCAGCTAGCCTTCTAATAAATGATTAATAAATGCAGAGAAAGGATTTGTTAATAAGAAAAAGTGTTCTGTTTTTTAATGTGTGTGTATAGGGAGTCTTAAAAGTGGGGAAAGGGAGATAGGTGAAAGTGAGGCTTCTTGATCTGTGATCTTGGGAAAAGCTGTCTACTTCATGATGCTGGCTGCTTCTGGGCCTGGGAATCGGCCCTGGAAATCTTTCAAAATCACCTGGGGCATCTGTCTCCCACTTGTCTTGAGAGGGATGTTCTGGGCCTGTGTTGGCATGGCTTGCGTGGATCCAGGAGGATTTTCCTTTTGACGACAGTGTAGGTGGTTGGCAGTACCTCATTAGGTCCTTCCCAGGGAGGTGACAGCACATGTTTTCTTCTAAAGACCTTGATGTACACTTGGTCTCCTGGTCGAAAGGATGGCGAGGCTTATCAGTTGATGGAAGCCAAGCCCCTTTTACCTTCTTCATGTACATTTGTTGTTGTATCTAGCTAGTCATATCATCAGGTTGTTCACCTAAGTTCCCATAATCTTCACTTAACCCAGGAATGGAAGGTTTAGAAATACCAATGGACATTGGGTATCCAAAGACCATTTTGAAAGGGGTCAGTCCATGTCTCCTATTTGGAGTATTCTGGATCTTTATAAGGGCCAAGGGCAAAGCTTCTGGCCATTTAAGTCCAGTTTCTTGACAGATCTTTCCTAAAGTTTTTTTATGTCTAGATTTTTTACGTTCTACTTTCCCTGAGGGTTAAGGATGATATGGGGTCTGAAATTGTAATGAGTACCCTGGAGTTTTTGCAAGCAAGTGCTTTATGTTGTAAAATGAGTTCCTTGATCTGATTCAGTCCATAAAGGAATGCCAAAGTGAGGAATAACCTCAGTTATTAATGTCTTTACCACTGTTGTGGTTGAGGCACATCTAGTCCAATAGGATTCAGTCCATCCACGAAACATGTAGACAACAGCCAAACAGTGAGAATAGCCTAAAGCGGGAGGAAATCTATAAAATTCATTTGGAGTGCCACAAAGGGGAATGCGGGCCTTGGAGGATTTCTTGGGGTATCCCAGGTATTTCCCAGAAATTTGGGGAGATTTACAAGTAGTACACAGGGAAATACTTTGGTCAGAAATTTTATGGATGCCAGGGCAAAACCAATTGTCTTGTATTTCCTTAATTCTCCCCCATCTGCACATATATCCCACTTGATGGGATATAAGCCAAGAGGTTAAAGGGAAGGGTGCTATAGGAAGTCCATTTGGCCAGATGTATCCATCTGGTAATTGTATAGCACCCTTTTGCACCCATTTGCCTCTTTCAGACTGCGGGGCATTTGCTTAACAGTTGATAAAATCAGTCAAGAATACAAGTAAGTTTAAAAATTCGGTAGAGAAGGAACAAGGGTGTCCATTTTGAGCTGGATTTTAGCAACTCTGTCAGCCTGATCATTTCCTAAAGATACAGCATTTCCTTGGTATGGGCTGAACAATGAACAACAGTTTTAGAAGGGAGGTGAATATCTTGTAATAAGGCAGCTGCTATATGGTCATTAGCAATAAGATTACCTGCAGAAGTTAAGAGGCCACGGGATCTGCAAATTGTGCCAACAGCAAGGCAGACTCCAGCAGCACATCTGGAATCTGTGTAAATAGCGGCAGTTTTCCCTTCTGCTAAGGTACAAGCTCTAGTAAGAGCTATGAGCTCAGCAGCTTGGGCTGATTTTCCTGTGGCATCAGAATGAACAGCAGGCGTCCCACGAGGGGAAACTGCAGCATAACCAGTTATGTTTCCCAAGAAACTTCATTGACGGGAGCCATCACAAAATAGAAGTCAGGCTGGGTTACCTAAAGGGGTGTCTGAGAGAACCTGTCGTGGCTTTGAGACCATTTCTACGGCTGCAAGGCAATCATGTGTGATACAGCGGGGCTGTCCATCAGGGAGGGGTAGTAAAGTAGCTGGATTCATTCAAACGGTTACAACGATGTAAGATGATGAGAAAGTCAGCTCATAAGTGGCCTGTCACCGTGTAGAGAGTTGCTGTATCCTTTGAACTTGTAGAATAGCTGACACCGCCTGGGGAACATAGAGATGAATAGGGGAGCCTAACATGCACACTGGCTGTGTCAATCAAGGCGGCAGCTGCAGCCACTGCACAGAAGCATGGGGCACACCTAATGCCGCAGGAGCTAACTGGCATGAGAAACACGCTACAGGGATGTATCTTGAGAAGCAGAAGATTGTCCTAGAATGCCTGCAGCAGTCCCATTATTTTCATGGCGGTATAGATGAACAGGTCTGTCAAAATTAGGTAAGCCAAGAATTTGGAGTGTGGACAAAGCTAATATTAAAGCTTCAAAGGAGATTGATTAATGCCTCTGAAGGGCCAGGAAATAGGCTCTGTGTTGTGATCTAGGAGAAGAGCAGACAGAGGTTTAGCAAAGGCTGCAAAATTAGGAATCCGTTGGCAGCAGTAGCCAGCTGCCTCCAAAAGTCCACGTAACTGTTTTTTTCATTTGGGGGAGGGGAATGGACAAAATCGACTTAACCCCATCACATTCACCATTGTGAATGAATTCTAGGTCGAGCGATGATGTTAACCAGATATTCTAACCACGGTGTGCTGATGTGACTCCAAAAAAAATGTTTTTAAAAAGTATTTGGCAAGACCTTTATTGAAATAAGAGATGTTTTTGTTTAACCACCAGAACCTCAGTAAAAATTGGGACTATTATTTCTGGAGATTCCAGAACTTCCTTTGGAAACATCCCCCAACTCAAAAGAAAGTCTGATGTAACCTCGTAAAAATCCATGTTGCAATAGGTGCTGTGTCACTGAGAACCACCGAAAAGACAGGGTTAAGGGCACAAAACGAGCTGCAAACCATATATGGAGAAACCCTTTTCTTCACACTTGTGATGAATTCATGTTCTGCTTTCCGTTTTCTCAACGCTGAAGTCGACTGTGCTTTGTAAAACCGGCTCACCGACCCTCGGGACCTGCAGTGCCTCTGGATTCCAGCCTCCGGGTCTCCATGCCAGACAGTCTGAGCATGCGAGTCACACTTGCTGTGACACACTGGATGCTCTCTGTGGTCTCCAGTTCTTCCTCTCCAGCAAATACTTTGCCAGATATCGAAAATGAAGATTTCATCAAAGACTGTGTTCGAATGCACAACAAGTTCAGATCAGAAGTGACTCCAAAAGCCAGTGATATGCTATACATGGTAAGAAAAACATGAGGGCTTGTGGCAGAAGTCAGTCAAAAACAACTAATGTGGATTGATTTTGGTGGTGAATCCTTGGTAATCCTGACCAGTGCTCTCGCGGTGATGAAGGTGTGCTTTAAATTCACCACCTGCGATCAAAACGAACCCAGTTTCTCTCTGCCTACTCAGTTCTTGTTATAAAGCAAGTATGTTTTACTTCTCTTTTTGGACACGTCCTTTGCACACGTCCTCAGGTGCAATTTATGTCTCTTTTTTGCCTGTTAATTTTTGTGAGGTTTTTTTGGTTTCGTTTTTTGTCTCTAAGTTGACTTTTTTTTGTTGCCGGCAGAGTACTGACTGTCTCAGGGAGGCCGCAGGGCGTCTGGGGGAAAGGCTAGGATTTTGATTCAGTCAGGCTTGGGTTTGAATCCTAGGTCTGTGGCTTTGGCCTGGTTTTTTAACCTTTCTGAGCTTCTTACGATAGGGGCTATCGTAGGTATGAAATTACAGAAAATATGTGAAACCAGCATGTTATTTTGCAACATAATAGACCTTCAGTGAAATGTTGTTCTGTGTCACTCACTTTGATTCTAAATTCCTCGAAACTAGATTATCATGTCTCCCACTAACGCTAGTCAAAACTTGAAGACCACAATATGATCCTCCACATACGGAGGACCTACATGTTCGTGGTCCTTCTCCATTCTGGACATCGTGCCTCACCTCCCATGCAAATTCCCACTTTGCTCACTGCGGTTACAGCGTTGGGTAACAGGCTCCATTCTTGACCCTCCTAGTGTTTCGTATTTTTTTCTGCAGACTTGGGACCCAGTACTAGCCCAAATTGCAAAAGCATGGGCAAGGAACTGTCAGTTTGCACACAACATACAGCTGAAGCTACCCCACAAGCTGCACCCAAATTTCACTTCACTGGGAGAAAACCTCTGGACTGGGTCTCTGTACCTCTTTTCTGTGTCTTCAGCCGTCACAGACTGGTACAACGAAATTCAGTACTATGACTTCAAGACTCGGAAATGTGGCAAGGTCTGTGGCCATTATACTCAGGTAAGTATCTGCCTTATATTCTCTGGAAGCTGTCGTTTCAAGGGTGAGGAGAAAGCTGGAATCTGGTGTTAAGAAAAATATAGAGTAAGCTAGTGTCCCTGTAAATATTAGAGAGTAGGGGTTACAGGCTTACTTTAAAAATAAATAAATGGAGGGCTTCCTGGTGGCGCAGTGGTTGTGAGTCCGCCTGCTGATGCAGGGGACACGGGTTCGTGCCCCGGTCCGGGAAGATCCCACATGCCGCAGAGCAGCTGGGCCCGTGAGCCATGGCCGCTGAGCCTGCGCGTCCGGAGCCTGTGCTCTGCAACGGGAGAGGCCACAGCAGTGAGAGGCCCGCGTACCGCAAAATAAATAAATAAATAAATAAATGGAACAGACTCCAATACCAGAGGAGATAGTGCTTGAAGAGTGTAGTTACATGGACATAGGTAAAACGTGAGGCCCACCAATCTGCACAGCCTTTGAATAATTTTGATCACACCTGTCTTCCCGTGGTATTTTGTGCCATTTGTGAACAATCAAAGGACCTTATGAGTAAATGGATTTATTCCAGGTACGAGTTCTCTAGGAAATTTGAGTCAGTTGTTCTGGGACTATAAAACTGGGAGAAATAAGCCTCTCAGACAGAAGCATCAATAAGAATTGAAGGGGACTTCCCTGGTGGTCCCGTAGTAAAGACTCTGTGCTTCCGCTGCAGGGGGGCATGGGTTCGATCCCTGGTCGGGGAAGATCCGCATGCTGCGCAGTGTGGCCAAAAGTAAAAAAATTGTGGTAATAATAGTTGATGCTTCCATATCCTCTTAGTCTTTCAAACATGGACTAAGAATCTATGATGTGCCACATGAAGACGAAAAAAAAGTCCCAGACCCAGTGGAGAGGTCAACATATAAATTTGTACAAATAATCCTGTAGCTACCCTGTACCCACAACTCTATAATTAGTGTGTATAAAAACCATATTAAGGTCTTCTCGAGAAATTTTTTTTTTTTTTTTTTTTTTTTTTTTTTAAAATTCAAGCTGTTTTTGGCTTCCTAACTCTAACTCACATTTGCAACATGGTGGAAACAAATCCCTAGGAAAAGTCTTCTATAATCTTCTTAATATGCTGCCTCCCTATACTGGCCACATTTTATTTATTTTATTTCCTGGCGGTCCTTGTCAAACCAATAACTAAAAGTAGTGAACCTATGTTTGACTGGTTTTAACGTAGAAAAAAATTGTTGAAATGATGTCTGAGAGCAAAAGCATTTCTAACAAGCCAGTTAACTTGGAATATTAGGTGTTTTTAAGAGCAAAATGTTGGTAGAAAAACTCAATATAGTTCAGCCTTATAAAGATACTGACCTCACTGGTGGTGGTATAGATGAAACACGTTTGGCACAGTTACAGGAAATTGTTATAATGAGAGGGAAAGGGTTGATGTCAGTGAAATTTTCATCTTAAGGTTATTGTAATCAAGGAGGAGCTATGAAATCATCAGTAGGCTTGGTCCCTTTCTTGGAAATATAAGTAAGGTCTCCCCTAGACTTGCCCAATAAGCCATCAGTTTTGGTTTATATTAACAAATAAACCAGAAAATAAATTTCATTGGATTCCCACAAATCCTAAAGGGCAAGAAAGCTAAATCCAGAGTGCCTACAAGCGGTATCTGGTGCCATTATGCACTATGGTATTAATCTCCAGGAGTAATTGTCAGTCTGAAGGTGCTGACTCTCAGTCAGTGTTTAAGCTTCTCCCCTATTCTAGGCACTTTGTAAGGTACAGGTCATGCGTTTTAGTCCAGACTCCTGAAAAAACAGAGCCTGAGATAATAGCTTACGTGCTAAGATTTTACTCGGGAGTACGATCGCAGAGAAGTGAGAGGGAGGAGAAATGGCTTGTGGGGCAGGGAATGAGGGACACAGCTGGGAATGGCCCCTGACCCTTAGGAGGTGACTTTTATTTGGAAGAGACGTGTGTAAGTGGATGTGTTATAGCGTATAGCTAGTGCAGCTCGGAGAAACTGACAAGGTGCCATGGGAGCAATGGGGACAGAGCAACTGACCTGGCCAAAGGGAGGTATGGAGACACAGGACTTGTTCATACAGCAGGAGACATGTAAGTTGGTTCTTAAACTGAGTGAGAGTTTGTCAAATAAAAAGGAATGTAAAAAGAACTCCAGGCAAAATTAACAAGGTGTAGAAGGTGTACAATGTGTACAAATGAACTTGGCATTTCAGAAGAATGGCAAGCAGCTTAACCCACCAAATACACAGTAATCCAAAGACTGTTAAATTGACAACAGTCTCCTAAACCCTGCAAGTTAAAAGATACTTTATGTCCATCATTCCAGGAAGTCAAAACAAGAGGAGGAAACTTCATTATATGTCATAGAGGCCTGAGATCTCAGAGATGGCCCTTCCCAAATTAACAGAGCTTACTTGTAAATCTTCCTCTTGCATTTAGGGGAAAAAAAAGAGGGCTAATATTTGGGACATAAAACATTTCCTAAAATCCAGTTCCTTTCAGACAGGTAGCAGAGCCAAAGTGAGTGATCCTAACCTGTTCTCTTTAAGAGACCACTACAGTCTACCCCCCAACTCAAATGAGGGAGAGGATGTCCAGGGACCTCTGGGTCTGGGAAGAGACAGCACCAGCAACTACTTTTTAAATGAATGTGGTACTTCGTTCTCTACATGTAAGATCTCATTCAACTCTCACCACACACCTCTAAGAGATGCTATTATCCATAGATGAATAAACAGGCCCAGAGGGGTCAAGAAGTTGTTATCCCAGTGTCATTTAGCTAGTAAGAGGAAGAGTTGGGGTTCAGATATAAGATATGTTGCTTATCTAGTAAAGTAGTAGTACTTAGTAGTCATTGAACAAAGTTTAGATTTCTTCCATGAGCTGTTTTTCCATCAATTGGAAGAAGGCTCTGACAGCTTGATTGAAGACTTCTTGTTTTTATCCTTGCAAGAAATCTTGCTAGGAGGTCCAAGATTACTCAGTTGCCATTTTAAATTCATGCTGGAAATTACCTCAAGTGGGTATTTATAACTTCCCACTTACCCTCATGTTAATTGTTAATAAAAAGCAAGCTATTTTCAGATTTTGGCCAGTGAGCAGTGGTTGTACAGAGTAAAGACAATAGATTCAGATGCATTTTTTTTTTTTTTTTGGCTGCATTGGGTCTTCTTTGCTGTGCGTGGGCTTTCTTTAGTTGCGGCGAGTGGGGGCTACTCTTCACTGCGGTGTGCAGGCTTCTCATTTCAGTGGCTTCTCGTTGCAGAGCATGGCCTCCAGGTGTGTGAGCTTCAGTAGTTGCAGCACCCGGGCTCTGTAGTTGTGGCATGCGGGCCCTAGAGTGCACGGGCTTCAGTAGTCGGGGTGTGTGGGCTCAGTAGTTGTGGTGCACAGGGTTCAGTAGTTGTGGCACACAGGCTCTAGCTGTGGTGCACAGGCTCTAGCTGTGGCGCACGGGCTTAGTTGCTCCGTGCATGTCCACTGCATTGGCAGACGTATTCTTAACCACTGCACCACCAGGGAAGTCCCCAGATGCATTATTACTTCATTAAAGTGTGATATTTCTTGACATGTTAACTCAACGCTTTAGTTCTGTCTTCACTAGAGATTTCAATTGTGGAAGAATTCTGGTGTATTGATATGGAAGATTATTTAGCTTAGATATTTTGTTGCCGACAGTTCATCTTTGTAAAGTTTGGGAATAGTTTGACTTAAAAAGCTGGGCGGTGGACTCCTCTGGTGGTCCAGTGGCTAAGACTCCACGCTCCCAATGCAGGGGACCATTTTAAATTCATGCTGGAAATTAACCTGCTCAGGGAACTAGATCCCACGTGCCGTGACTAAAAGATCCCGCGTGCCACAACTAAGACCCAGTGCAGCCAAATAACTAAATAAATATTAAAAAAAAAAATAGCTGGGTGGGCAGCAGCTCAGGTTTGATAGTGCTAATAATGCCCACTAGATGGCACTATTGATCTCATTTCTTTTTATCCCCACCCGTTGAAATTTTTATTTTTACACCCTCCCAGAACGAACGGAAGTGTGCGATGTTTCAGTTTGTCTAGCTGATTTTGTACATGTTGCATATTACTGATAATGAGTCAGATGGACTCATACTGAGAATTGAAAGGGGAAGATGGTGTATAGGGGTTGTTAGCTAGAAGGAAGAGACATGCCTGCCCCCACTGGGTTGGGTTCCCCAGATGCAATGTTTTTGTTAGGTATAGTTTCCTGATTCTGCTAAAAAGGAGAGCACTCTGGAAGCATCTTGCTTAGGGCATGGACTGTCCTCACAGCACTTTGTGGTCAAGTAGCATTAAGTTCCACCCCTCATCTAGGAAAAATTGGGGCAGTATGTATTTATAGATTTGTTATGAGGTTAAACATGTTGCATGTAACATGCTGAACACTACCGGCCACTAGGAAAATTCTCAGTGAGTAGCTCTTAATTTTTTAAAATTCTTTTTGTTTACCATATGAAAAAATGAAAACATGCAACAGGAATCTACCTGATTAAAAAGAAGTTTCAAAAGTTTTAAAGCAGAAGAAAATTAGTCATAAGAGAATAAAACATGAACATCTGCTGAGAGCTTGCTATGTTCCATAAGCTGTTCTAATCACTTTCTTATTAGCCCATTTAGAATGTCAAAATAAGCCTGTGGAGTAGGTGGTGTTACCCTCATTTAATAGACGAGGAAGCTGAGGCCGAGGTCACACAGTGGGTGGCTGAGCTGAAATATAAACTTGGTCTTTGTAACCCCAGAGCCCACAGAGTTGAACCCAGAAACTGAATGCCCATGAAGCTATTAAAAAGAGGCCAACTTGAATGGATGGATAAACTGATAAATCCATGCAATAAATATTACTCGGCAATGAAAAGGAGAGTGACTAGTAATGAATTCAACAACATGAGTGAATCTCAAATGCTTATGCTTAGTGAAAGAAGCCAGATTGAAAAAGCTACATTTAAACTGATTCCACTTATGTAACATTCTGGAAAAGGCGAAACCACAAGGACAGAAAATAGATTAGTGATTGCCAGGGGCTGGGGGTGGGAGCTGACCACAAAGGGGCACAAGGGAGCTTTTGGGGAAATGTTCTAGGTATTGAATGTGGTGGCGGCTGCACAACTACATGCTTTTGTCAAAATTCATAACCTAAAACGGATGGCCTCTATGTTAATTACAACCTGATTTAAAGAGAGCCCAACTAAAACACAAGACGAATGGTAACTAACATTTGCACTGTCTTGGAAAAGAGAGATCAGAAATGTAAAAGAAAGTAGAATAAAAGAAATAGCATAAAGCATTAAGTGTGTGTGGGAGGAACCCAAAGATTAAGAGCACTTGACACTTGAGATGCAACACTGGAGGAAAGTGCTCAAAGACCAGAGGATCAGAATATAAAATGATTGACTCAGGCGATCGTACTCCCAACATGGCCCATTAGCATGCATAAGAATCACCTGAGAAACTTGTTAAAATAGAGAAACTTTTTCGCTGAATAATGTTCCAATATGTGTGTGTGTGTGCCTGTGTGTATGTGTGTGTATATAAATATACTACATTTTCCTTAAGGAAATCCTGTCATTAGCATGGGTAGATCTACAGGTAGTACGCTAAGTGAAGTAAGTCAGACAGAGTCAAATACCATATGATCTCATTTATGTGTGGAATCTTAAAAAAATAAAACGAACTCTTAGAAAACAGATTGGTGGTTGCCAGAGGTGGGGGATGAGTGAAATGGGTGAACGTGGTCAAAAGGTACAAACTTCCAGTTTTAAGATAAATAAGTCCTGGGGATGTAATGTACAGCATGGTGACTAGAGTTAACAATACTGTATTATGTATTTGAAAATTGCTAAGAGTATATCTTAAAAGTTCTCATCACAAGAAAAAACTTGTAACCATGTGTAGTAATAGGTGTTAACTAGCTATTGTGGTGGCCATTTTGCAGTATATACAAATACTGAATCACTGATTCAGTATTGTACACCTGCAAGTAATATAATTTTGTATGTCAGTTATATCTCAGTTTTAAAAAAATACAGATTTCAAGGACAATTCCAGTGACTCTCATGCAGTAGGACTGAGATGGGCCCAGAAATCTGCATTTTAAACAAAGCACCCCAGAGGAAGTCACTTTGAGATGCAGTGAATAGAAATGAAGAAATATAAAAATAAATACAAAAATGATTGGGAAATTAAAGTACAAGCATCAAACCTGAGAATGAATGGCCATAAAACTAGGTGCTCTCGGGGAGATAGAGGCCTGATTTACTTGGTTACCTGGAGTTCCCTGCAGGGGATTCCAGGGTGTGAGATGGGAAGGGAGACACCCCACCTCAACCAGGGAGGGCCGTCCTTCACCAAAGGAGAGCACTGATCCTCTGTGGGAGACCAGTACCTGCCTCCGCAGCTCCTCCCCAGTTGTCACACAAGGAGGAGGACAGAATGGAAAGTGTCCCGGCCCCGCCCCGCCCCCCGACACTGCCCAGCCCTCCCTAGCTCCTCCCCCACCTCCTACTCCATCCATGAGCCTTGGAGGAGCTGCCTCCATCCTAACCCTCTTCCCCTACTCTACACTCTCTCCCCAGAGAGCTGTTCTTAATTGATTTTTTTTCTTTTTTTTTTTTGAGTAAATTTGACCTTTTTCAGCAGACACACCAGCCTTGTCTCAGTTCTGTGAGTCTTTCCCACCTCGGGGTTGGTTCGCACAGGTGTGCCCTCTGCTGGGAACCTTCTCTGGCCTCCCGGACCAGCTCACTTTCAGCTTCGGCCTCACTAACTCAGAGCAGGATCCCTGCTGTAAACTCCCTGAGCGCCCTCTGCTTCCCCTTCACAAAGCTCAAAACCCTAGCCTAATGGTTTCTTGACTGCTTTTCTCTACATTTTGTGAAGGCACCCACTGGCTCCAGCTCATTCATCTCCCTGTATTTGGTACAAGTAGTCACAAAGTTGCTAAATATATATATATGTGTATATATATATATATGTAAAAATAATTTAAAATTCTATTTTGTATCACTGTAAAAAGGAGTGCATTTAATTGCTGGCTTAAATCCACACTAGATTTTTTTTTTTTTCTTGTGGTACCCGGGCCTCTCACTGTTGTGGCCTCTCCCGTTGCGGAGCACAGGCTCAGCGGCCATGGCTCACGGGCCCAGCCGCTCCGCAGCATGTGGGATCCTCCCGGACTGGGGCACGAACCCGTGTCCCCTGCATCGGCGGGCGGGCGGACTCCCAACAACTGCACCACCAGGGAAGCCCCCACATACTAGATTTTTAAAATACTTTACTTTTTTCTTCAGCCTTCTATTACAGCAAACAGTCTTAGTTAGGATGAGCTGTGTAATTTGTGTGGCCTAATGCAAAATGAAAACGTGGATCCCCTTGTTCAAAAATCATGGGAAAAGTGCCACTGAAGGTGCTAAAATGCGTGCAGCACTGAATTAAACCAGGTATGGGGCCCTTCTGATCACGGGGTCCAGTGGGACAGCACACCCCTCTCCTGGAAGCTGGCCCTGTTCTTGCTTTCCCTCCTATGCCACTAGCCACTCCCTTTCAATGTTTTGCTGGCTGTTTTTTTTTTTTTCTGTATCCCATGCTCTCATTTAGTTGTTTATTATCTTTGCTTACAAGATCTAATCCATTCCCACGTCTTCCAGGTTTGTGTCTCGAGCCATGCTCTGTCTTCTGACCGGCAGATGGTCGTCTGACAGGCATCTCAAGAGTAGCAGGAACTGAACAGAACCCCTTGTCTGTGTTCCCACCCACTTCCTCCTTCCCTCATTTTCCCCGTCTCAGCAAATGTTGTTCAGACCCAAACATTAACTTGATTTTTCTCTCTCCCTCTTACCCCACCCTCAAACCAAAAGCAAATTCTTTCAGCTTTACCCCTAAGCTGAACCATGAACCTGGTCAATTCTAGGGAACCCCACTACCATCACCGAAGTGAGAGTCACCATCTGCTCTTTCCAGTACCAGTGAAGCAGTCTCCCGAATTCCCTCCCTCTTTTCACCCTTGTTCTTCTCAGTCCATCTAGTTTAGCAGCCAAAGTGACCTTCCTAAGACCTGAAAAAGGGACTCTCCCTCCCTCCACTACAAGATTCCCCATGAGCTGCTCCTCTCTGACCTCATTGCCTGTGATTTTCCCCAACTCCTGGATCCCAGCTCCGCTTGCCTTTATTTATTTATTTTTGGCTGCGTTGTGTCTTCGTTGCTGCGTGGGCTTTCTCTAGTTGCGGCGAGCGGGGGCTACTCTTCGTTGTGGCGTGCAGGCTTCTCCTTGCGGTGGCTTCTCGTTGTGGAGCACGGGCTCTAGGCGCACGGGCTTCAGTAGTTGCGGCTCACGGGCTCTAGGCATGCAGGCTTCAGTAGTTGTGGTAAGTGGGCTCAGTAGTTGTGGCTCACAGGCTCTAGGTGCACGGGCTTCAGTAGTTGTGGCACATGGGCTCCGTTGTTGTGGCTCGCGGGCTCTAGCGTGCAGGCTCAGTAGTTGTGGTGCACCGGCTTAGTTGCTCCGCGGCATGTGGGATCTTCCCGGACCAGGGCTCGAACCCGGGTCCTCTACATTGGCAGGTGGATCCTTAACCACTGCGCCACCAGGGAAGCCCCTCTGCTTGCCTTCTTTCTGCCACTCTTGCACGCAAGCAGACTCCACGCCAGGGCCTTTGCCCCAAGGGCTCCCTCTGCATGGATGCTCTTCCTCCATCAGTTGGTCTCCTGCATGTTTTGAGCGCTGCCTCTTCATCATTCAGGCCTCATCTCAAATGCTGCCTCCACACTCGAGACGCCTTCCCTGCACATCCAAGTGAAAGCAGCCCTCTTTCTCCCCAGCAGTCACTCTCTATCCTGTTAGCCTGTTTTATTTCTTCATTGCACTAGCTGTCAAAATTAGCTTAGTTATTATTTATATTTATCTCTCTCTCTCTCTCTCTCACACACACACACACACACACACACACACATACACACACACACACACACACACACTTTCCAACCAAATTCTGACTACCTAAAACTTCCCTGGCGGTAACTGCTTTGCCTAAGTAGAGTTAACATGCCTGTGTTTACGAAGGCCTAATCATACTCAAGTGTTCATTTTAGTATCTCTCTCTTCTTAACAATCTGTATTTTCTTTCAGATTGTTTGGGCAGATAGTTACAAAGTTGGCTGTGCAGTACAGTTTTGTTCTCGAGTTGCTGGCTTTGAAAGTCTTCGCAATGGAGCACATTTTATATGCAACTATGGACCAGCGTAAGTGCCCAAATTAACCTCTTTCTGGGAAAAGAAAAAAAAAACTATTTTAAAAGTATTTATCTTCATTATAGAAAATAAATCTGGGTAATAAAAAAAGTTTAAAAGAGAAAATTAACATTACCCTTAATTCCTCTGCCCAGAGATTTACTCCATTTACACTGATACCTTTTTCTTTGTATGTGCATTTGTGTTTGTGTCTGTGTGTACACCTTTATAAACACTACATAAACACACACACACAAACACATTTTTAAGAGTAGGAAAACTAAAATGTTTTCAGGGACATAGATTAATTGGATATTGTAATAACACCACAAGATGGGAAGATTAATATTCCATTTAATATTTATTAACTTATTAAAAACTTTTCAAAGCAGAACAAAAACCCACTCTGAATTGAATTTCTCAATTTATATAACTTATTTCATTTACTTTTGACAGTTTTGTTTTTGAAACAGACATCATTTTTCTCCCTTTGGAAAATGGGAAGACGCATGACATTCTCCTCCCACTTCCTTTAAACTTATATATGTGTACTTATGCATCGTACACATACTTAGAAAACTGAGATGATGGAAATACACATTTTCTATTTTTTACTTAAAATTACATATGAGCATTTTCCATGGCACTGAAGTTTTAAACAGATTACAATAATTAAAAACAATGCCATAACGTTTGTATAAAGCTTACTATGTACTAAGCATAGTTCTAAGTGCTTCGCATATATTAAACTTATTTAATCTTCATAAAATGTCTGTAAGTTCTACTATTACCCCTGTTTTGCAGATAAGACAGCTGAGGCCCTGACAGGCAACCAAGGAAACTAAAACTTCCTACTTCTTTATTGGGCAGAATACTTTAGGTCCCTTTGTCTTTCTGTGTTTTTATTTTATTGAAGTATAGTTGATTTACAGTGTTGTATTAGTTTCTGGTGTACAGCAAAGTGATTCACCTATACACGTATGTAATAGTTTGCATCTGCTAATCCCAAACTCCCACTCCATCCCTCCCTGACATCCCCACCGGCTCTTGGCAACCACAAGTCTGTTCTCTTTGAGTCTGTTTCTGTTTTGTAGGTAAGTTTGTGTCATATTTTAGATTCCAAATACAAGTGATAGTATATGGTATTTGTCTTTCTCTTTCTGACTTACTTGACTTACTTTGATAATCTCTAGGTCCCTCCATGTTGCTGCAAATGGCATTATTTCATTCTTCTTTTATGGCTGAGAAGTATTCCATATACATAAATACACACCACATCTTCCATCTTCTTTATCCATTCATCATAGATGGACATTTAGGTTGTTTCCATGTCCTGGCTATTGTATATAGTGCTGCAATGAACATTGGGGTGCATGTATCTTTTCGAATTATAGTTCTGTCCAGATATATGCCCAGGAGTGGGATTGCTGGATAATATAGCAACTCTATTTTTAGTTTTTGAGTATCCTCCATACTGTTTTCCATAGTGGCTGCACCAATTTACATTCCCAGTGAGGGAATGTAAACCCTCACTGTTGGAGGGTTCCCCTTCCTCCACACCCTGTCCAGCATTTATTACTTGCAGACTTTTTAATGATGGCCATTCTGACCGGTGTGAGGTGGTACCTCATTGCAGTTCTGGTTTGCATTTCTCTAATCATTAGTGATCTTGAGCATCTTTTCATGTGCCTATTGGCCATCTCCATGTGTCCTTTGGAGAAATGTCAATTTAGATCTTCTGCCCATTTTTTGTTTTTTTTGTTGTTGTTGCTGTTATTGAGTTGTATGAACTTCCCTTCGTCGGTTGCATCATTTGCAAATATTTTCTCCCAGTCCATGGTTTGTTTTTTCGTTTGTCTATGATCTCCTTTGCTGCGCAAAAGCTTGTAAGTTTGATTAGGTCTCATTTATTTTTGCTTTATTTCTATTACCTTGGGAGACTGTAGATATCTTTGTCCTAATCATTCCCATCTAGACAAAAGTCAGGCCTTTCCAGTAGCATGTTTCTCCCAAGATGAATTCTATTTCCCTAGAAGTCACAACTGCCTTGTTTTTAGCTTGTTTTTGAAGTAGCAATTTTCCCCTCTTCTTTAAAGTATGGAATGCACAATTAAAGTATGAAGCAGCATAAATGACTGCATCAAAAACATTCTAGAATTTAACGACTCAATGAGTACTGTGCTTTTTAACAATGAAAGATACTCCAATGATTAATGTCCATTTTGGATATCTTTTATAATTATCAGAATCTCTACTATATTCCTTTGACTATTTTCCACAGGGTAACATAAGCAGAAGGGTAAATTTGAGACAACCTAAATTAATTTGGAGCCAAACGAGATTTGAACATATCTTTTTAGTTGGAAATGAGGTTTTAATAAAAAGTAATGTCTCAACTCTGAAAATTAACGCATAGTATTAAGGGAGAGGTGTCCATGAACTTGGTTTAGAAAAAAGTTACATCTTTTTCAGTAACTTCTATTGAAAGTAACGTTTATGAAGATAACACTCCAATCATTATCAGCAATAGCTGTGACTGTACAGCACTACCTGTATCTTTATCACAGATATGTTCATATCACTTTGTAGTTGCTGCATCTCTCTCAAAATAGTTTTTATCACTACCTTGAAATTACTGTAATTATTAGACTCCCTGCTAGCTCTTACCTAATACTTGAGAAGTACATATTAGTATATCACGAATATTTTTAACATGTTAATAACTATTTCAACTTAATTTGTTTCCTTTATAATCCTATGAACTTTATTTTCGGTATTTTTAAACTATTTTGAGAAAGGGCCCATGCGCTCCACCAGGCTGCCACAGGGTACATGACATGAAAAAGTTAAGAACTCCTTTCCAAAAGTAGAGTTCCAAAAAAGATTAGAGCAATGGCAGGTTCACTGAAATAAATGTACAGCCTTTCATCATTACTACTCCAGAGATATTCATGGGGATATAAAATGTTTGGTTATTATTTCATTTTCTAATCTGTGATCTTGGTCAATTACTTACATTCTGTGCCTCAGCCTCTAGCTATGGGGATTAAAAAAATTATAGTATCTTCCTCATAGGGTTATTGTGAAGATTGATTCATTCGAGGATACTCAGAACACGAAGGGACACGAAGAGTATTCAGTAATTATTATCTATTATTCATATCACATCTTTTATGTGAAAACAAATTGCATTTTAGAAACTACCCCATATTTCTTATTTTTTATATATATATATTTTTTTTTTTTTTTTTGCGGTACGCGGGCTTCTCACTGCTGTGGCCTCTCCCGTTGCGGAGCACAGGCTCCGGACGCGCAGGCTCAGCGGCCATGGCTCACAGGCCCAGCCGCTCCGCAGCATGTGGGATCTTCCCGGACTGGGGCACGAACCCGTGTGCACTGCATCGGCAGGCAGACTCTCAACCACTGCGCCACCAAGGAAGCCCTCTTGTTATATTCTTTTGGAAAGCCCTTTCCCCAGCCAAATGGCTCCCATCCAATAAAAACTATGGAGGTTTGCTAGACTGAGGAGAACAAAAATGTGGGTCATGATGGCTTTTCTAAGACGGACAGTTTTTTGGATGGCAGTGATCACATAGGCCAGACAGTAAGTAGAGGGAGTACTGCTCTGAAATCAGACAAATCTAGGTTTCGTTCTGACTCTGACATCTGTACCTTGTGATTTTTGGCAAGTTACTTTATTTTTTAGAGGTTTAGTTTCCTTATCTGTAAAATAGAAATAAAAATAACTTCTTCCCCGAGTTGTCTTAAGAATTAACTGAGATGATTAAGACATAGGTTCCTAAACACAGGCACCTAGAATGAACTCTGCAAATATTAGCAGGCTTCCATTTCTGCTTCCCCCTCTCCTCTTCTCTTCCCAACCCTCTGAATCTGCAGACTTTCATCCTAGGATTTAGCCAAGGACCATAATAAATTGCAATTGGAAAAAAAAAAAAAAGAAACCAAAAACTCTCCTAATGGACAGTTTTCCTCTACTTCACAGAGGCAATTACCCAACCTGGCCATATAAAAAAGGATCCACATGCAGTGCCTGCCCCAGTAACGACAACTGTCTGGACAATCTCTGTGGTGAGTAAAAGGAGCAATCTACCAATAATACAATGTGTTCAAAACTCTTGTAACTTTCTACAGAGCTAAGAATGCAAACGTTTGCTTTATCCTAACAGCTGTTTTCAGGGAAAGTGGCATCAGGGTTGCAATCAAACCTGGGAATGAATATATGGTTCAAGAGAAATTTAAAGAAGCAAATAATATTCTTTAGTTAGCGCTAATCAGACAAACAACAAACGACTCTGATGCTGGGAAACTGTAGACCCAAGATTTGCTAATTTCAGCAAGATCAAAAATTTGTACAACAAAGTTAACCAAAAGAATTCTGAATTGTGTGATACTACCTGTCCAAGCACTCAAGACTTGCATTTTCATCTTTAGAATCAGATAAATAAAGCTGCAATGTGGCACTTTTTACTAGTTAGACAGCATTTAATGAGGAACAGTGTAGGCCAATGAAGCTACATTTCCAAGGATGTTTTACATAACTTTGAAATATTAATACACAATTGGCCAAGAGTCTATTTATGGTTCCTGTCCCAGACACATTCCTTTCCATCTCAGTATGTTTTTTCTTTACTTTTTGCCATGGTGTGAAGGAAAACCTCAATCAAGCTACTGCAGTTGTGCAAATCCTCTAGGACTTTTGTGTCCAGATCTGTAACTAACTGAACCCCTCAGGGCTGCAGGGCTGGGGCGGGGTGCTAGGAGCAGAAGGAGGGTAGAGTAGACTGAGTTTAACTGCATAAATTTTTGTTTGGCCAAAGTGTTGCATTGCTTACACATTTCCTAAGGTCCTTTCCGGGTTTAAAATTATAAAATTCTTTTCAACCGCTTTTCCCTTCCTCCTGATTTGTAAACAGTGAGTTCTCATTTTTACTCCAGCTACAGAGACGCTTTTTCTACCAGCTTTCTGAGCCAGTCATTTCTCTCCAGTTCAACCATTCTTTCCCTCATAATTAGTTTTGTTTAGAGAACTCACTAACATGTAGCCATAGTGCAACAAATCCCTTCTCAGAGCACCAATGTTAACTGAATTTTTCATGTTACTCCAACACTACGAAAGCATGTCTTTTTTTTTTTCCAAGTTAGGCAGTATGACATAAGAGTTAAAACCACAGATTTTAGCGTTCAATTTCCAGTTCCACCATTGTGACACTGGGCAAGTGTCTGGACCTGTTTCCTCATTAATGAAATGTAGACGGTGGCACCTCTTCACAGGTTTCGTGAAACGAATGAAAAAAAATTATATCTAGACCAAGTGCCTGGCATACAGTATCACTCAGTAAATATTATCTATTATCCCCAAATTCATCCTTCCTGTAATCTCAGATCTTGAGTTTACTCTTGGTATTTTGGTGTCTTCTTTGTGCCCAAGTTTTAGATGATATGTTTTTATGCTCATGAACAAGACTCACTCATGCTTCTTTAGAATCTGTGATGAAAACTGAGACAATAATTTTAAATTATGTAAAAAGTAATTTAACTGTTGCCACTGGTTAGCTGTCTTTCCCACTAGACTCTGAATTCCAAACAGGCAGGAATTATGCCTATCTAATTCAACTTTGTAACCAAAGTGCCTAGTCTAGAAAGCAAATAATTGCTAATTTGCATATTTCCTTAAAAAAATCATTCTCTATAAAAATCTAGACAGTAACACCACCACCAGCACAATGATAACAAGAAGAAAACTGCTGGAGTTTTAGCTTTTAATCTTAGAGATCTAGCCTGAAATGGTCTCTAACCTTGTGGGATAAAATTCAGAAAATTAAGGCTGTAGTCCAATAATGAAAAGCCCCTGGGCTCTTAAGAGAGACAAAGGAAAACGCACGCTAATTTGCAGGAGGGTAAGGGTTAGAGGATAAAAGCTTTTATTTATCAGATTTTGTCTCTGACAAATTGTGGCAAACACTGGAGGAAAAAAATCCCTTTGTGGTCTTCTAGATACTGGTAGGTTCAAAAAATACCAATGGAGGCCAAATCAGGATGGTTTTGCAAAATGTGCTGGGCACACCAATGGTACACAAGCGGATTTTTAGCTAGTGCATGGATGACATTTGTTTCAATGTTCAAAAGTTGAATGTTTAACATTTTAAAAATATATATATGTAAGAAAAAATATAACTAGCAAGCATATCATACCTTGATTTCATGGATATAACTGCCAGGAAAAGTTAAAGAAGCGGAAGCTTCGTCGCAATTCACCACAGCAAAGCCCAGTCAGTCACAGGTATGATGACCAGGGATGCTCACGAGTACCAGAGGGTCAGCTCCTTGATGGATTCCACCATAGGAGTGCAACAGCAGCTGGCATAGAACCGGTGTAAAAGAGGTGTCTGACCATTTAAAAAGTATAAGGAGGCTATGGCAGATGTGGAATTCTCTTCCCAGTGCTCTGAATGTCAAAATCTTAATAAAGCTCAGTGGAAGGAGAGGAGTAAATATGACTTTGATATCCAAATGCCCTACTGATATACTAATGACAGACTGGAATGTATGAGAGAGGCCACTGTCTCTTCATTACTGACCATAGATAGTATCATTCTTCTCAGGAGAAACTTACTTTCAGGAAAATATTTTAATAAATTGCTCACACTGATTATTACTAATACTTATTTTTAATTGTTTTATTTTAATTGCATTTATTTTATCTGCCAGTTACATTATGTAAAATGATTTTCCATTTATGGTAGTGGTATATAAAAAGTTTATATATAAAGGTTATATAAACAAGTTGATTGAAACAGTCAATGGTTATAATTAAGAGACTTGGCTTTTTAAAAGAAAACAAAAGCCTCACCAGTATCTATTCTTTTAATTCTTTTCTTTCTTATTTTATAGCTAACCCACAACGAGACAAAGTGACACGTATGTATATAAACCTTAAATTGTATAAGATCTATCTGAGCTATGTTACTGCATTATGAGGAATAACATTTAAGAGTATATTTTATGTTTGTTTCACAGGTTACTACTCTGTTGTGTTTCCAGACTGGCCCATATTTCCACGTAACAGATACACATCTCTTTTCCTCATTGTTACTCCACCAATCCTAATACTGAGTGTTATAATTATCAGTTTGGTCAAGCACAAATACCCTCATTTAGTTCTTCTGAACTAATACAATCCGGGGGGGGGGAAAGCCTCATTCGTACATGGCTTTAAAAAATAAAATTGGGTGTTATTTCTAATTTGCAGCAAACCCTTACTCAAAAGAAGAAATGGTTCAGTTTCCTAACATTAGAAGGTAAACTCATCTTTACTTTCCACTTTTTATGAAGAAGCATTGTTTTCATGCTGCCACAGCTGTGACTTTCAGTGAGTAACCTACTCCCCGTGTGCCTTAGCTTCTAAATATGTAAAATCAGTGAGCTAGATTTAGGCGAGTCCTGGCCCTCGTCAGTAAAAAGCGTTTCTATGTAACCTGTTGCCTGCTGCTTCAACTCCAAATATCTGGTTTTCCCTGTTCTCTTGCAAATTTGATGTCTTTCTGGTTTACTACTTCCTCAGACTCATATTGGAATAGTAATGGAATTAATTTAAAAGGCCTTGCACTTTTGGATTATGGATTACTCTTGGAACAAAATGTAAAATAAGATTACAAAAAGGGATAAACCTAAATGTTTACTTGTTGCCATTAGAGCACTGAAAAATCTATTTTCCTCAAAACCAAATGCTGGGACATGATTATATTTAAAGACTAACCGATGGCCTCAGACATTGGATTTGATGGATAATTACAGTAGCTACATTGCAAAAATCTTTACATAAACAACCTTAAGAATTACCCCTAAAACCATGCCTAGATAAAACGTGCCTGGAATAGATTAGGTGCAATGCATATAAACACAGATATACCACCTTCTAGTATAAAAATTTTCAAAAAACATGGAGAATACAATAATTTATAAAGAATTGCTGTTTATGTAAAGAACAAAACAAACTCAGAAAAAAGTGATCAGGGTATTACTTCTCAGGGATAAGGCAACTAATGCCCTAGTATCTCAAAATCCTTTACAAAAGGAGATAGCTTAATAAATTCTAGCTCAGGGATTTTTGTTTGTTTTATGTATGTTACTTTTTTTTCTTCTTTTTCTTTTCATCTGCTTCCATTTTAAGCTTAACTTCTTCAGCTGTAAGGGCTCCCAGTTTCTTACTCTTCGCTTTCTTAACCTTTTCCTTGATGGCTGCCACATCAATTTTAGTTTCAGTAGAAGCTAAATAAAAACAATACATGTAATTCTTTAGATTATACCAAATAAAACAAAGAATACATATATAAGACGATAATTTCAGAGTACTGTTACAATTGAAAGATCATGTTATAAGATATAAAACACTTGCTTAAAGGAAAGTTAGAAATTTCTTCTAACTAGGAGAAAACAAAGTACTTTAAAAATACATTAGTGAAAATATACACGAAAATGGCATTATACTTTAACTATTTGAACCAATTACTGGATTCAACTATTAAAATTACATTTTTTCCCTTAAATTGTTTTAAGATTCTTTTTTCCATATTGGAACTTTAGAGTATTCCTTAAAAAACTTAGTTTTCCGAATATTCAATTAATGACTAGTAGTATTTCATTTAACAAGATTTTGATAATAAAGACCATAATCTGAGAGTATCTGGAGGTCCTCCTAACAGAACCCAACCCCATGTATTTAACACAAAAAGTGTGAACAAAACAGAAAAGCAGTGGAAAAAAACACAACCTTTTCTTATTATTTAAAGAACAGCACTCAGGACATAAAGAACCACAAGATAAAATGTCATCAAACAACCCAGCAACTTGAGAGCAGACTTAAAGCCTCCACTAGAGTGGAATAGCTACACTTTAATCAGTAATAAACTGAGATTAAACTAGCTATTGAATACCTTCAGAGTACATAACTGACAGATTGTACAAACTAGAAAGTATAATGCTTATGATATTTTTATATAACCAAGGATCTGAATAGTAGAATACAATACTTTTAAAGCTGTTAACACTGATATAAATTAACAAACTAGTACTGTTACATCTGGCTTTGACCAACAGGTCATGTGCAATGCTGCTGGGTGACCTCCCTCCCCTCACTGTGCCACTGACTACTTTGGAGAGTTACCTTACAGAGGAGTACACGTGTTACTAGTGGAAAAGAAAATGCGAAAGAGGAGAAGACGGATCAAAATGAGGCTAGGAATGAGAAGAAAAGGCATCAGCGTGTTTTCTCTGAGTGTCTTTAAAAGTCCCTGAGTAAGAAAGATCGTCCTGCTATTTTGTTGGTGTCTTTTAGCCCAAGTGATGAGAAATCCACGTTAACCATACAGGAATCAAATTTGAAGCCACAGATCACACAAGTAAAGGAAGTACAACTTTTGATAAGCTCTTTTTAAAGGGCATGATAGCAGAGCTCAGGGATCTTACTGTTTTATTTTTACAGAAGATTCACTGCTCTGGTTTATATCTTTCACAACAGAGTCCTTCCTCAGCACAGCGGTCAGGAAGGGACTGTCAATCTGGGATACTCTTAAATAAGCATTAGCTGCTACTAAATTATAAATTATCTCAGTCACCACCGCTTTTCCCTAGGATTTGTGATTAATGAAATGCTAAGAGAATTGATGAAACGCATGGTTATTTCTTAACACTCAAAGAGCTTCAGACAAATCCACTATGGGTTTACTTTTCCTCTAACAGACTTACAGCATACCAAGAGTTGGAAAACAAGCATTACCTTCCTTAGGTTTCACAACTGGTTTTTCTTTAGGTGGAATAAACGCTTTGTTTCTTTCCTCTTGTCTCCTACTAAGAGCTTCTGCTTGTTTAGCCTACATCATTAAGAAAAAAAACTACATTAAAAAATGCTTTTGTAGTTAAATAAGAATTCAAGTATCTATAAACTTTGCAACTAGTGTTGTAAGCTAGACATGGTCTTACCTTTATTGCTTCCATTTTCTGTCTCCTCTTTTGACTTGCCTTCAGAAAGTATTCACCAGTAGCCAATTCTTTATCAATCTGTTGAAATCAGTATTTACAATACATCATAAATAATGTAGATGAGAAGTCAATTCCTAAGAAATTAACAGTGACCTTGAGGTAAAGACAGTGGGGTCAAAACTGATTACTCTATAAAGGTAGCAACATAAAAAGAAGGAAATGTCCTCTAAGCTGAGGGGAATATATATGCACAAAAGCATGTAGGTAGGAAAGTAGGTGATGTGTTCATGGAATACACAACAGACTGCTTGAGGTGGGGTGGAAGGTCAATGATTCAGAAAAGTGTGAGAGGAAACTGGAAAGACAGTTTTGGGGAAGCATGAAGAAACATGAATGACAGGTAAGGGAAGTGGGATATGACTTGAGAAGTGACTAAAGGTTCCTGAGAAGAGTGAAGAGAGCAAAGTAGCACTTTATGAAAGGTACAGAAGAAAGGAGAAGAGGTAAAAGGCTGTTTTTAAAAAAAGGCTGCAGCATACAAAATGAAAAGCAAGAACTGTCAGGATGTGGAGACTAAGTACTAATTTGCAGTAGCAAATTCATTAAGTAGTCAACATATAATTAATTGGTCTACCTAAGGCAATGTTCTACTAAACTCTAATACTAAGCTCTCTACACTTCCTAACTCACTTAATCCTCATTAACAATTCTTTGAGACAGGAATGATCATTATCCCTATTTTCTGTACAAAGAAACTGAGGCATGGATGGGGTTAAATAAATTATGCCCATAATTACATAGCAAGTAAGTGACAGAATAAGTCAAATGAGACATCGCTGATTCAAGAAGCTTACAGTCATAAAAAAAAAAAGATAAAACGACAACTACTTACAGTACAGGGCTATACAAAATATATCAGGTGTTACAGAAGCATGGTTTAGTAACTGGAATACTCGCTTTCCCCCAACTAACACTTTCCTTCTGGCTTCACTTTGTTTTCCAAAATAGACCTCAAGATCCAACACTTCCATTTTTACTATGATCATCATTCCTTTTTTACCTTTGACCTTTCATCAAACCTTCCTGGAAAACTACAAACACAGGGCTATGGGGAAAACAAGATATAGTACACAGAAAGAGATGGGTTTACATGCTAAGCACAAAGAACTCGTAAAAGGGAAGACTTTAACATACAGCCAAGGAAGGGAATAATGAAGCAAGACACCTCAGAAGACAGATGACGACAGAATTCAAAGAACAGAAAAAGAAAGGATTGATGCAGATGGAAAAAAAAATTTGAGATAAGAGGAAGTTGAAAGAGTTCTTGCCTCGTAGTCTCAAATACTTCTAGTAGATGACATTGCATTTTATTTTACTGGAGTAGGAGGGTGGCTAAAGAATTAAGAGGACACAGAGATGCCAGAGAATACTGAAGACCTATCTGAGATTGGAAACGTGAATTTTTAAGGGATATAATCCAAAGATACGACTTTCTTCAGCTATGTTCAGTAGCCACGTTATGGGAAACAAGTCAAGTTTTAGGACTGATCTAAGTTTTAGTTTTGTTGGGCAGGTGTGATTGATAGAAGAAAAGGGAGTATGAAAGAAAACAGTGATGGGCAAGAGAGAAAAGGAAATTTTAGAAAGGGAATGATGCCAGAGGACAGTTGACAAAATTAGAGGCATTCATGTCTTAAAAAAAGGATAGATATTAGACTTAAGATTTCAAATCCAGAGCAATCCTATAGTACATGGTCACATGAATGATGCTAAAGCAGAGCAGAAAGCATTGTGGACTAAATCGTTGAATTTTTTTTAACCATGGAACATTTATAGTGGCTACAGATACACAACTGACACCACCTACCTTGACGGAGTTCACACTCACAGTATGAAGCTTCCACTCACCACCCCCATACAATTAGTTCAAAATAAGCCTATTCACACTTACCTTCAGTTTCTTAAATCGCTACACACCCAAACGTACATACACAGAAATTCCACCCTCAAAGTTTCCGACAAAAATAGATTAAAATGGTTTCCCCCTCATGTAAAGAAATTCAACATTTAATACTGACCTGACTTTCTGGCTGTGGTGGTGGGAATGGTGTATACTCCTTCTTAACAGTTTTCTTCTTTGGTTCCTTGCGTTTATTCACATTTTTGTGCTTGAACTGTGGCAAAAATCTTTCCCAACTCTGTGATCTTAACTCAGAATCTTTCGCCAACTCTCGTTTAATCATTAAGGTCTTCAACCATGGCAATATATGAACAAAGTAAACTTTTAATTTAAAAAAAATTTTTTTTTTGATGTGGACCATTTTTAAAGTCTTTATTGAATTTGTTACAATATTGCTTGTTTTATGCTTTTTGGTTTTTTGGCCGCGAGGCATGTGAGATCTTAGCTCCCCAACCAGGGATCGAACCTGCACCCCCTGCATTGGAAGGCAAAGTCTTAACCACTGGACTGCCAGGGAAGTCCCAAACATTTTTAATTTTAGCAGTCATATGTTTCGCAACCTAAGACATTATCAACATTGTTCCTATAAATAATAAAATTAAAAGGAACAATTCTTAGTCTCTTCAGTAGGATTAAACCAATTCTGGAAACAAAAAATATATAATCTCAAACATGCATAATTAACCAAGCATCAGAAAACCATTAGAAATTTAGACAGAGTTATTAAAATAAACTGAGATGAAAATAAGACTAACTCAGTTTTTCAACCATTATTTCATTAAAACCTTTAAAATTCAACCTAACAATTAGCAGGGAGAGTTCTTAATTAGTGATGTTTCCTACAAGCAGGAAGCTAGCACCCTGAAATATGACGGAAAGAAAAAAAGTCTCTCATGATCAACAAAACGAAATGTTTTCACACTTCCCCTACTCCATCTGAATTTTATAGACACTGAAACATCAGAGGATGCAAATGAGGCATCAGATGCAAGATGTCCCAATGTAACTCAAAATCGTTTTTTCACCCCAATCTAAGAGTGACTTTTCAACTTAACTTCATTAAATTCAAGGATTGTTTAACAAATATCCATCATAAAACAACTCATTATACCGTGGTTACATTTCCAAGAATAATCAAGAACTTTATGCATACACGGATATTAACAGATCTCTCTCGAAGAGCCTATAATTTGACTGTTAAATTCCAAAATAGGTTTTAACGCAATCTCAAATATTCCAGACTTTGCTTATAGAAAAAGGCAGAATTCAGGACTTCCCCAGTGGGCCAGTGGTAAAGAATCCACCTTCCAATGCAGGGGACACGGGTTTGATCCCTGGTCAGGGAAGATCCCATATGCCACTGGGCATCCCATATGCCACCGGGTGCCTCAACTAGAGAGCCCATGCGCCCTGGAGCTGGCAGCCACTAGATAGAAAACCCGCACACCACAACCACAGAGAAGCCCGTGCGCTGCAACAAATGATCCTGCGTGCTACAATGAAAGATCCTGTGTGCTGCAACGAAGACCCAACACAGCCAAACAAAAATCTTTTTAAATAACTTAATTAAAAAAAGAAAAAGGCAGAATTGTAAAAGATCACATCTTTAAATATAATATGTGGGCTCAAACCCTAAGAAAACTGGATTGGTACCATCTACTACAAATCCTATGAAGCTTATTTTATTTGTATTGGAAGTGAATCACTACATTACACTGTCCCCTTCAATAGCTTTCAAACTGTACTCCAAAGAGGCCTAAACTTCCAAAGAAGTAACTATAGGACTGGGATAGAGTTGAGTGGGCTGAACTCTACCCCAATTTACCCCAAATAGCTCTGCTTTATCTGTTTTGTATATTAGGCTTTCATAAAAGATTTACTTTCAAGAAAGGTTTCTGTAGCTAAAAACAACTTTGTAGTAGTATACAGTGAACACTCACTTTAATGTTATAAATTGGATGAATATTCTTCATAGTGTCTAGGACTACTTTTCGAACCTGAAATTTGCAAAGAAAAATGAATCAGTCATGTATAAAGATTTTAGTGAACTAGGTAGACGAGGATTAATATATCACAAAATAGCCTATGAACCAGGCAATGGCTACCAAGTCCCTTCAACTGTTCTGAGTGGCTTCTAGGTCTTTCATAATAGTCAACCTCCCTTGGATACAATGAAGTCTCTCAACTTTACTGATAAAAAGCTATACACAGAATTAACACAACACTCTGGAGCTGTAAAATTTAGGGGGAAGAGGGCTGGATTTAGAGTTAGAATATATGCACTCAAATAGTGGGACTGCCACTTCATACGACAAAGGCACTTAATTTTCCTATTCCAGCTTTTTCATTTGTAATATGGAAATAAAACTACCTTAAGGATCTGTCATAAGAAGTAAATAATATACTTAGACTCTACAAAACTGTGAAATATTCAAAATATTTAAGTTATTATTGCCCCATGAGAAAAAAGCAGATAACTTATGAGAAAGAGGTCCAATAGAATTAAGGTTAAAGGCCCTGGAAAGCAAGTAAGACCTCACTGCCAGATACAGATAACAAAAGCCTCAAAAGGAGTTAATAGAGTATCTGCTCCACAGATTTTCTCATAACATCTGACAAGCTGAAGAAGATGTTCATAAAAACATTAATATTCAAAGAAAATATATCTTAAAGGAAGTTTTCTGAGCCTGACCTCTACAGGCTGAATACATTACTGCAAAGAACAAGATCTGTTCAATTCTCCAGTCATTAAAATGCATGTAGGGGCTTCCCTGGTGGCGCAGTGGTTGAGTCTGCCTGCCGATGCAGGGGCCACGGGTTCGTGCCCCGGTCCGGGAGGATCCCGCATGCCGCGGAGCGGCTGGGCCTGTGAGCCATGGCCACTGAGCCGGCGCGTCCAGAGCCTGTGCTCCGCAACGGGAGAGGCCACAACAGTGAGAGACCCGCGTACCGCAAAAAAAAAAAAAAAAAAAAAAATGCATGTAATTACTTCCTGTTTCTTACGTTTGCTACAGACTGAGACCTTAAATGCCCACTTAAAATTCGAGTGGAGGGAGTAATGATGTGCAGACCTCCTAATTCAGAAATGGATCTCTCTTCAGTTACCAAAGGTTGGCCGTAATATGTTAGGGTCCAGGAAATTACATGAATTCCCTCAAATTACATGAAGAATTTACTAATGGAAAATCAAACAAAGCATATTCTAAAAATATATATATAAAACAATATATTATCCAATGAACTATTATATTATTTCATTTATTCTCTGTGGAAAATTAACTGAAGACAATAGTTCTCACCTCTTTTAAGCCACTAAAAGGTCCAATGGCTGAAACCGTGTTTCCCTGTACCATAATGTAACAGTTTGTTAAGAGTTCCAACGCCTACATCAAAAGAGCAATAAGTTGAAATTCAGTACACTTAAAAACTAACAAAAGAGGAAGACATACTTTTTCACTAATAAAAAGTACCTTCAACGTAGATCCTTTGGGACCAATAAGCCGTTGTCTTCTTTTTACAAATCTTTCTTTATTTCTTACTAAAGAACCTATTTTAATGATGTCACATGCAACATCATCCTGAAGAATTCGTACTGCCTTTTGGGAAAATAAAAAGAAAACTCCACCAATATTCTTGACAAGTAAATATCTTCTGCAAGCCAAGAAATTTAAGCACAGTTAAGCACAAAAATGAAAACTTTATGGTGCAGGAGGAGACGCAGTGTTATATGTTGTCTCTAATGTTGAGGCAAATAAAGCAAAGTCTCTGTAATTCTTAATTTACCTGTTCAAATGAAACACTCCTTGCTAACAGTTTTATTAGGTCTCTGGCCCTAATGATGATATATGGATCAAATGTCTTCTTTGTTGTACAGACAGTCATGCTGCCCTCGATCAGGTCCAGGGTTGCATTAACATGCTACAATACAAAAAGAGCAAGCAAGCAGTTGTCTGAAAATGAATTCAATTTTAGATAATTACAGAGCCGATCCTAACCAAATTAATAATTTGTCTGCTATTAAGCTATCTCAAAATTCATTAGCTCTCTCCTTGAAGAAGCTAGAAAGTTAATGTAAATAATTGATTACTGTTAGACTTCAAAGAATATAAAAAACTCAGGCAATTGAAAACATTTATAATTGGCTTTAGAGTAATTTATACTTATTGGAATAAAGATTATCTCTAGTTTAAAAAATATATATCAGTCAAAATGAGGCTACATTTTTAAATTAAGGTAAAAATGTAAAGCTATATAATTTCCCTACCTTGGCTGGATCCAGCTCTAATCTCTAATCTGCTCCCTAGAGTGAGAATGGACTTTCCCTTTCAAACTTTTTTCTAGCTGGTTTGTATTAGCTAAATACAAAGTAAAAACAAATTATCATAGGTTTAAAAATAAAAGCAGTGATTATGATTACTACAGTGATTAAAACTATGCATTAACTTTCAAATGGAAGAATCAGATTTCAACAAAGCAAATAAAAATGCTGTTTTCTAACTTGTGAGCATAATCTGAAGAATATTTCAATATAGTGAATGACAAACAATTAAACCTAAGGTTAGGTGTCTATAAGTTTACGAAAAAACCCCCAAAATTGAGTCTAATCTCCGATGTAGACAGCTGTAAAACACGCCTGCAGTTTGCTAAACCACCCTCATACCTAATGCACACAAATGACTCTAGAGCAGTGCCACAGCTGACAAATACATTTTCTATCAATCTAGTGTACATACACACACAGGTGAACCAAAAGCTTCATTAAATGATACTTATCCTTACCACATGTGATACATTGATGTATTTTTTTCTAAAGGCTCATTATATCCACTAAATTGACTTCTTGATTCACTAAGGGGTCTCAATCCAGTTTGAAAAATAAAATCAAATACACTGCTCTAGGGGCACGGCAGAGGGAAGTTAAACAATGCCAGGAGTATGCCTCAGCTCAAACTGTACAGGTTCGTGGCAACCATTATAGTAGCAGACATTCTGAAATTTGGAGTTCACAAGTGAGTTTCAGACCATCTGTGAATCCCCTAAATATTTAAAGGCATGTGAATTTTTCCAAGTAATCTATTATTCACAAAACTAAAAACAAATGAACTGTAAGGATAATTATCTAGTCTGTTTAAAATATCAAAGGAATCAAATTAACCAGCTATGGTAGCACCTTTAAAAAAAAATCCATCAGCACACATTCAGTTACTTAAAAGATATAAGCAAAAACAAAATCTCAAAGAAATACATAAGATATGCATACATGTTCACTCAAGGCTTTCTGTACCAATGGCCAGCACTCTTTCAAGTAAGCCTCTCTATATTTTGGAAACAAAGTTGCAAAACTGCTCTCCTCCAAGAGTCCTCTGGGATTGTCCTCTTTGGAAAAAGCTGGCTCCTTCCAACCATCAGGAACAGTGAGGAGTTCTGATTCATCTACAAAGGGGGAAAAATCTATACATCAGATTTAACTTCTTTTGGACACTTTTTGAACACTTGTATGCATACATTCACAAGCTTCCCAATACTCTCCTCGCATTTCCTTTTCCCCTGCTTTTTATATTATTCAACAGTCCAAGAACGTGCCTCTGTCATTATCACCAAAATACTGTATTAAAATTGTATGTATTTCAGTCGCCTCAGAAGACAAAGTTCCTTAAGGGCAGGGACTCTTCTTCGATCCACACTTATTGGCATACACCTGGTACATATTCAACACTTACAAACTTCTACTGCACCACACTATCTTAGAGTTGAAGATCCAAACACCATTTTGTTTACATTACTATTTTAAATATAAGTAACCTTTCAGACTCAATGAAGTGCAGCCTATGTGTATATATATATATACGTGCATGTGTGTGTACATAAAACTTTCAAAAGCTTGATCCCAGTGTACCCTTTCAGTTAATATTCACTAGTACAGGGTTTTAGGTTTCCCAAAGACCTTTCACGTGCGTTATTTCTGTATTCTCTCACGACTACAAAAGGTAGGAAGAACTGGTATTATTATTCCCATTTTATAAAAGATATTCAGTTCAAAAACTTTAAGTGACTTGTAAGGGAATATGAAGCTCAGTCTAGGTCTCCTCTCACTAGAACAAAATGCCTCCTAAGGGCTATAAATTATTTCCCATATCATTTATCAAAACTCCTGGTCCTGGATTTTAAGAACCTCTTAAATCCAACAGCTGTACTTTAATTCAGTACTACTCAAAGATATGATCCATAGACCTGAAGCACCAGCATAAACTGAGAGTTTGTTAGAAACGCAGTTCTTGGGCTCCATCCAGACCTACTAAATGTGCATCTCTGGGATGAAGCCCAGGAATCTTTCTTAACAGTCTCATGACGAGATTCCTATGCATACTAAAGTTTAAGAAGCAGGTCTTATAGTTCATGTTATCCACTCCAGTCAGGTAAACTTGCTTTCTGTTTCTTATACTCACATCCACTTTGTTACTTTTGGTTCAAATCACAGAGAATTAGCTAGTCTTTATTTATAGTTCACTTCTCAATATCCCTCCCCAAAACCCTCCAATTCTACAATAGTGATTACTTAAAATGCATATCTGACCAAGATCTTACCCAATTTAAACACTTAAGTGATTATGAATTTAAAAAAAACAAAGAAAAAAAAAACCCACTGGCTAAGGAAATCAACAGGAGTTTCACAATGGAGGAAGTACAAATAGCCCCAAAACATGTAAAGATGTGTAACCTCATTAGTAATCAGGAAAGTGTGATTTAAAAACACAATCAGATATGATTTCACACTTAACAAAATGACAGAAATGAAAAATTCAGGTAACAGCAAGTGTTAGTGCTCATCTACTGACATCGGGAGTGTAAAGCAGCACAACTCCTTTGGGAAGATTTAGCATTATTTGCACATGTCCTACCCTACAATTCAAGGATTCCAATCCCATGTAAGGTACATAACCAGAGAAACTCTCTAACATGTCAACAAGGAGGTATGTACACAGATATTTATACCATATTGTTTATAATAACAATGGGAACAATAAAATGTCCAGCAACATTAAAATGAAAATACAGAGATTGCCTCATCCACCAGAGGGCAGACAGCAGAAGCAAGAAGAACTACAATCCTGCAGCCTGTGGAACAAAAACCACATTCACAGAAAGACAGACAAGATGAAAAAGCAGAGAGCTATGTACCACGTGAAGGAACAAGATAAAACCCCAGAAAAACAACTAAATGAAGTGGAGATGGGCAACCTTCCAGAAAAAGAATTCAGGATAATGATAGTGAAGATGATCCAGGACCTCAGAAAAATAATGGAGGCAAAGATCAAGATGCAAGAAATGTTTAACAAAGACCTAGAAGAATTGAAGAACAAACAAACAGAGATGAACAAAACAATAACTGAAATGAAAACTACACTAGAAGGAATCAATAGCAGAATAACTGAGGCAGAAGAACGGACAAGTGACCTGGAAAACAGAATGGTGGAATTCACTGCTGCGGAACAGAATACAGAAAAAAGAATGAAAAGAGATGAAGACAGCCTAAGAGACCTCTGGGACAACATTAAACGCAACAACATTCGCATTACAAGGGTCCCAGAAGGAGAAGAGAGAGAGAAAGGACCAAGAAAATATCTGAAGAGATTATGGTCAAAAACTTCCCTAACATGGGAAAGGAAATAGCCACCCAGGTCCAGGAAGTGCAGCGAGTCCCATACAGGATAAACCCAAGGAGAAACATGGCAAGACACATAGTAATCCAATTGGCAAAAATTAAAGACAAACTATTGAAAGCAGCAAGGGAAAAATGACAAATAACATACAAGGGAACTCCCATAAGGTTAACAGCTGATTTCTCAGCAGAAACTCTACAAGCCAGAAGGGAGTGGCATGATATACTTAAAGTGATGAAAGGGAAGAACCTACAACCAAGATTACTCTACCCGGCAAGGATCTCATTCAGATTCAACAGAGAAATCAAAAGCTTTACAGAAAAGGAAAAGCTAAGAGAATTCAGCACCACCAAACCAGCTCTACAACAAATGCTAAAGGAACTTCTCCAAGTGGGAAACACAAGAGAAGAAAAGGACCTACAAAAATGAACCCAAAACAATTTAAAAAATGGTCATAAGAACATACATATTGATAATTACCTCAAACATGAATGGATTAAATGCTCCAACCAAAAGACAAAGGCTTGCTAAATGGATACAAAAACAAGACCCATATATATGCTGTCTACAAGAGACCCACTTCAGACCTAGGGACACATACAGACTTAAAGTGAGGGGATGGAAAAAGATATTCCATGCAAATAGAAATCAAAACAAAGCTGGATTAGCAATACTCATATCAGATAAAATAGACTTTAAAATAAAGAATGTTACAAGAGGCAAGGAAGGACACTACATAACGATTGGAGGATCAATCCAAGAAGAAGATATAACAATTATAAATATATATACACCCAACATAGGAGCACCTCAATACATAAGGAAACTGCTAACAACTCTAAAAGAGGAAATCGACAGTAACACAATACTAGTGGGGGACTTTAACACCTCACTTACACCAATAGACAGATCATCCAAAAGAAAATAAATAAGGAAACAGAAGCTTTAAATAACACAATAGACCAGATAAATTTAATTGATATTTATAGGACATTCCATCCAAAAACAGCAGATTACACTTTCTTCTCAAGTGAGCACGGAACATTCTCCAGGATAGATCACATCTTGGGTCACAAATCAAGCCTCAGTAAATTTAAGAAACTGAAATCGTATCAAGCATCTTTTCTGACCACAATGCTATGAGATTAGAAATGAATTACAGGGAAAAGAACGTAAAAAACACAAACACATGGAGGCTAAACAATACATTACTAAATAACCAAGAGATCACTGAAGAAATCAAAGAGGAAATCAAAAAATATCTACAGAAAAATGACAATGAAAACACGATGATCCAAAACCTACGGGATGTAGCAAAAGCAGTTCTAAGAGGGAAGTTTATAGCTATACAAGCTTACCTCAAGAAACAAGAAAAATCTCAAACAATCTAACGTTACACCTAAAGGAACTAGAGAAAGAAGAACAAACAAAACCCAAAGTTAGCAAAAGGAAAGAAATCATAAAGATCAGAGCAGAAATAAATGAAAAAGAAATGAAGGAAACGATAGCAAAGATCAATAAAACTAAAAACTGGTTCTTTGAGAAGATAAACAAAATTGATAAACCATTAGCCAGACTCATCAAGAAAAAGAGGGAGAGGACTCAAATCAATAAAATTAGAAAGGAAAAAGGAGAAGTTACAACAGACACCGCAGAAATGCAAGGCATCCTAAGAGACTACTACAAGCAACTCTATGCCAATAAAATGGACAACCTGGAAGAAATGGACAAATTCTTAGAAAGGTATAACCTTCCAAGACTGAACCACGAAGAAATAGAAAATATAAACAGACCAATCACAAGTAATGAAATGGAAACTGTGATTAAAAATCTTCCAACAAACAAAAGTCCAGGACCAAATGGCTTCATCACAGGTGATTTCTATCACACATTTAGAGAAGAGCTAACACTTATCCTTCTCAAACTCTTCCAAAAAACTGCAGAGGAAGGAACACTCCCAAACTCATTCTATGAGGCCACCATCACCCTGATACCAAAACCAGACAAAGATGTTACAAAAAAAGAAAGCTACAGGCCAATATCACTGATGAACATAGAAGCAAAAATCCTCAACAAAATGCTAGCAAACAGAATCCAACAACACATTAAAAGGATCATACACCATGATCAAGTGGGATTTATCCCAGGGATGCAAGGATTCTTCAATATATGCAACTCAATCAATGTGATACACCATATGAACAAACTGAAGAATTAAAAACCATATGATCATCTCAATAGATGCAGAAAAAGCTTTTGACAAAATTCAAAACCCATTTATGATAAAAACTCTCCAGAAAGTGGGCATAGAGGAAACCTACCTCAACATAATAAAGGCCATATACGACAAATCCACAGCAAACATCATTCTCAATGGTGAAAAACTGAAAGCATTTCCTCTAAGATCAGGAACAAGACAAGGATGTCCACTCTCACCACTATTATTCAACACAGTTTTGGAAGTCCTAGCCACAGCAATCAGAGAAGAAAAAGAAATAAAAGGAATACAAATTGCAAAAGAAGAAGTAAAACTGTCACTGTTTGCAGATGACATGATACTATACATAGAGAATCCTAAAAATGCCACCAGAAAACTACTAAAGCTAATCAATGAATTTGGTAAATTTGCAGGATACAAAATTTTTTTTTCTTGTTTTATTTTTTATTTTGACCCCATTTACTTTTTAAATTAAATTTTCATTTAAGATCATTGTAGATTCACATGAAGTTAAGAAATACAGAGGAGTCCTGTATTGTTCACCCTGTTCTCCC